ATATATATAGCATATATATATATATATATATATATATATATATATATATATATATATATATATATATATATATATATATATATATACATATATATATATATATATATATATATATATGTTTCCCGTGGGAAACCACAACATTCACATACAACATTGCCAGACTAATAGCTGGCTTTACGCATTGAAGGACTAACCTCCGAAATGCAACTAACATCATAACTTAACAAGTCGTTCTCAGCTTGACCTTGTAGCTCAGAAGGTAGAGCATCGTTCTAGAAATGCGAAGGTCGCGGGTTCGAATCCCAGCCGCGGTCAAGTAGAATTTTCTGCTTGCCCGGTTTGGTATACACTCGTCTGAAAACAACTCAAAAACCGCTATATATATATATATATATATATATATATATATATATATATATATATATATATATATATATATATATATATACCACAACTGACGTGATCGGTATATAAATACTCGATATAGTTAGTTACCTCTATTTTCTGAAGGACACAGATTAATTGAAAAATATTCTCATAGCATCATAAAACAAAATTACCAACCCACTATAACATATTAATTAAATGTAAATATATAGCAATGGCCAATGCCAATGTTTTCAAAAATATACTTACATTAGTCATTACTGTACTTTTCCGCACAACCAATGTTTCCAGCTTTCACGCTTCGTTCAACGGCCCATTCAAACCATGTGCCCATCGCCCAATTGGCGTGCTCACTTTCGTCAGGTTGCTGTAAAACACAGCGTTTTACAGCGCCCTGCTTTCGTATTGTGTGGTATTCTTGATTCTTTCCGTTTTTCAATCTCATCGTCACTAATAACACTTATACGGCCAGTTTCGCAATTCTGATTGTTGGGTACCGTGACTTGACGAAATGATGTTAGCTCAATTCAGCCTATTCTCTCAGTGCAGCATGACATAATTCACCGCCAAAGAAATCACGAAAGAAATCAAATCTGTCTACTTCTAAATTCTCTTCAACGATTGTATTTTGAGTGTACACAAGTCTTCATCACTCTCTCGCTTTTCCATGACTCAACTGATTTTCAATGCACCATCTTAACATTTGAATATGACAATAGAATCATGCAAACTAATGCTCTCTTTACAACAACAACAATACTTTCTACAGTATATCAATTATCATTGTCTTATCTAATGATTCTCTAGCTAAGGAAAACCTTCTAAATTATTAAATCAGTCAGTTATACAGGGTGTATCAAAAAACCTGCAAATCCTTTGAAACACAATGTTTTTAGAATTTGCATGATTCAGAACTAATTGTCCCAAGCGTGCGTAAACATAATAATTGACGAATGCGCAGTCGAACTGATAATTAGTTTTCTGCAGTTCAATTAACTTTGTGTTATTCTAATTTCTATCAACGCGGTTAATTAGAATGTATTTTCAAATCCCAGGAGCAAAATAAGTAGCACAGACACTGAAATGCTAGTAAGTACGAATTATAGATTGATCGCGTCAAAGATCAGCATAATGAGGGCGGCTTTAATTATCAACATTTTGTTTAAATGTATAATGAAACCGTCATGACATAAAGCCTCCATCCTTGGTATATAACTCTTACTTATAACGTCGTGATTTGAAAGTAAATACGGACATTCGTTATTTGATTCCGATTTCCGTACCCACATTGGTTGTTGCTCTTTACCTTAAGATATAATTGAGAGTGGGGAAGTGGGTGGGAGAGGGGATTGAGTTCAACAAATACCGTGATTCTCTTCCCCAAATGTCCGAACTGTACTCATACGTGATCACACTGTTTTGCACATGAGTCGTCACGTCTATTTGAACTATGCTTTGTTGTTGTATGTATGAATCATTACCACATAATTATGGTCAACAAATCTTCTCATTACGTCATGGCCGACCTTAATTCTTTTTTAATTGGGTGCCTATATAAGGCTCACACGTACCATCAGATGGTTTTACGTATAGTTACAGTTACTATTCCTTATTGATATTAACATTACAATATTACATCTTTGCGTAACCACTTTATAACACAAGTCCGAATATAATTTTCATCCCGGGAATATCCCGCGAGACAGGCTACGTGGGCGTCTCGAAGTTTAAATTGGGCTGTTTTAGCAAAATCGACGCGACGTCAATCAGGACGTGAAAATTGTGGCATACACCTCGTGTTTACTTCCGGTTCGAATTTATGTGAAAATGCTTTTATTATTATACGGGCCGAATGTTTTCTGAAGATTTTCTATGAACATTCAACAACTTCTTTTTGAAAAACTGTTATATTTTGTTGTTTTTGAACAAGTGAATTCAGTTTATCGCATCATTCGGACGAAAACGGCGATTCCATTTGATTTAATCGACTTTTTGAGCTGTTCTATATTAATAGGCATACCGACTGTTTTTCACGCCCAAAAGTGTTTTTTATTTTTAGTCTAATGTCGTGTTCTTGTGACAAGGCAACTAAACTGATTGTTTCCATTTTTACTCGTTTAAATGCTCCAATTATTCTATGTTACTACTTTTTTCTTCATTTTAAAGTCTTGTTGTTGTAATTCAGTTTTTGTGTTTTGAAATGTTTCTTTTCGGGCAGAAATAGAAGCAATGTTGAAGTGTTCAACAATGCTTGTAGTTTTGTTGTTTTGTCATGGCGATAAAAGTACTCTCAAAAATCAATGCGTTCAAAATTCGGCGACAAATAAGCACATAAACTTGCCAATCAAACCAAAATTCAGCTACAAATATTGAAGAATCAAACATAAATTTGTGACGTTCTAGACAGGACGTGAAAACATCCTAAATGCCGTCTTAATACAAGGTGAACGACGTTCAAGATTAAACCGGAAGTAAAATTCCCACATGCCACGCCATTTTCACGTCCTCGTCGACGTTGCGTTGTGTTTGCTAAAGCTGCCTATTGATTACAACTTACGCGAGACTAAATGGCAATCAATGTCAATTAACTTGTCCACGATGTCGTTGAGCTCAGAGAAATCAACCTTGTACACGTTTAGCGGATCAGTCGCTAAAGCTTCCATTTGTTCCACAAGTTTTGCCTTGGGATTCTTCGCGTCAGGACCAGCTGCAATCGTAATGATTCGAATATTTCTCTTCTTCATTAACTCAGCATGTTTTTTGGCCATACTGAAGTCGTGTGCCTGACCGTCTGTGAATAGGATCAACACATCAAGAACGCCCGGTCTGTCTCCGTTACGTTTGTTGAAAATCTATAATAAAATATATATTTTATTCAGGGTTTCAGTGCAGGCAGCGCAGACAATGAAGAAGTTTTTTCGTTAAAAGCCCAAAGATTCCTATCTTTTCTCAAAAAAGTCCCCTTTCTTGAAAAGAAGACTCAGGTAGCATTGCTGAAATAATTTGAATAAATGAATAAAGTGGATCCCATGCACCGAAAAATAACTGGATCCGATCAACATTTGCAAGATAAATACCTCATCTTTTTATTTTCACGCGACCAAAATAATAAGAATTGGTTTTATATGTACTAATTCACAACTATTTCTCTGTTAGAAAGGCTTTTATTCAATTACTCGGAAAAAATCCAAGGTCGTATTTCTGAAAATATCCTCAAAAATATCAATCACTTTAAAAATTTGAAGATCTTGGGGTAAAATATAAAGGTTGTCAATTTTGGTCGATTGCTGTGGCTCGAAAATGCCGCAATAAAAGATCATAGAATTTCTTCATTAATAACGAGAATTCGTTTCCATTTCAATTTTTTTGCTAAGGAGCCTCCTTGTTAAGAACTTGGTGAAGAATTTAAATTTTATATTTTTATGAGAACCCAGGAATTTTTTGTTTAGGAATTCAGACGGTGAGAATTTCTTAACCTGGCCAAATTGAGGTTTATCATGGTGTTACAAATTAACGTTTATTATATATAATTACTTACATAGTTGTCAACAATTCTCAATGCATTACCGGTGTTAGTTTTTGACCCAGCGCGATACTTCATGTGCTTGATCGCTCTCCTCACTTGCTTGTTGCTATGCATTTCACTGAGGGCAAATTCATAACTCATTGACTTCCTATCGCTGAACTGTAGTAATCCAACATGAGATGCATTCTCAGCGATGTCAAACTCCGATGTCAGTCTTCTCAGGAATTTTTTAACCAATTTAAAATTTGGCGATGTGATACTTCGAGAGCCGTCCACAAGGAGGAATAGATCAACCGCGCCCTGGGTACATTGAACAGGAGCTAAAATTAAAGAAAAATTTTCATGACTAAATTCTTACATTGATAATTTATTTCTCAGATAATTACCAACACTTTCTCTATTTGTCCTAGTTTCGGAGAGCACAATCTTTCCTTCAGAAAGAATACATCCATTGGAAAAATAATGTCATTAGTGAGATATCAACTGCGGATTAATCAAAAGTAATAAAAGGTGTAGCAAACGATAGCTCTCATTCATGCGCTACCTTTGCTTTTGTACTTCTTCATACTTGAAAGTGCGGTATGTTTAATGCGCTTTAATAAAGGTGGGGGATTTTTGGTGTCAGTGTTTATTTCGTGCACAAACTCTGTAATTGATATCTGTGTTTTATGAAATGCATTGCATGCGACCGAAGCTTGACATGCATTCATGCATGCCCGCCGCCCCATACACCCCGTACTAAAGTCATATGCAGTGTTCATGAAATAGCCTCCGTATTCTGGTATTTCATAGAGTTCCAACGCCAAGTTTTAAATTGACTCAAGTCAGTAACGTAGTCAGGATTTCTAGTCGTAGGAGGGATCCAAGGAGAGGCTGAAGCAATATTACCTGTGCTAATTCGAATATAGATTTATAGTTTAATTGTTTATTAAATGGAAAGGTATTTGGGGGCATGCTGCCCGGAAAATATATTGAAAGCTAAAGTCGTTAGAGTGTCATTTTCACCAGTTTGGTGGCTAGTTTATCATGTGTTGGTGATTTTACAGCTCGAACGGGCAAACCGAGACCGCTTTTGCATATTTTTAATGCTTTCAGACTAACCAAAACCAATCGCCACTGGGTTATTTTGACTAAACATTTTCCGGTTATGAACTTATGAGATAGCCATAGGTCTAAATTACCCGCTGTTGATTGGTTTTGGCTTAGTTTGAAAACATTAAAAATATGCAAAAGCGGCCTCGGTTTGTCCGTTCGAGCTGTAAATAACCTTAAAAAACTCATTAATAATTCATGTTGATTTACATAAACTTTCACTTTGATTTTCTCGGCTTAGACAACGTTTAATTTTAAAATTACTTCGTCAATGAACTCATAAGATGAGTCGTTTTTTATTCGCGTCAGTGTTGTATCGGATATACAAACTCTCGCCTTCGGCTCGAGTTTGTATATCCAATACAACACGGCCGCTCATGTTGTAAACATTACATCTAACTCATAACAACTCAGATCTACAAAATCACAATCCAGTCCAGAACGTTTAAAACAAAGCAAGATATAAAATTTACATTACAGAAAATGAAAATACAATGCACATCTTTGGTACTCGACTTAAGCATGCATTGTCTTTCAGGGGGGGGGGGGCAAAGGGGGCAATTTGCTCGGGGGTCTAAAGGGGGGCCACAAAAGGTGTAATTAAAAAAAATTATTTGGAACCTTTTTTTTATACAAATAATGATATGAGAAAAAAATTTTATACCTTAATTTACTGGTATTGGTCTGAAAAAATGTGTTTTACCCATTGTTTTACCCGTGTTTTTACAAGTATTTGAATCTTTTTATTTTGGAATTGTGCGGGAAAATTTTTTTTACTCTTCCCCCCTCGCCAACATCTTTGGGAAAATATAGGGGCAACGAATTAAAAATTTGCCCGGGGCCTCTGAATTTCTCTGGGAGGCCCTGCAAACACGTGATGAAGATCTATAGTACAGATAAAACAAACTTACGTGCAAATGCTCTGGGACAGTCCACTTCTACCAATTGTTTTGCAATTACTTCGATATTTTCTTCTAATACCAAGTCATTATTTTTGAAATCAATACTGAATACATCTTTCTGATTTGTTGCCATCTTCATGAGGTTTTTCATCCCATAAGAACTCATTGTTACATTTTGGCCATAGCCTACTGAGAGAATTTTAACTCCCAGAGTTTTCAGTGATTGCGCTTCTTCCAACATGACGCGAGGGTCGTGAGATTGGCCGTCAGCAAAAATAACCAAAGTGTTAGGAATGTCAGGACGATCTCGACCACGTTGGTTGAAGACCTAGTAAATCAATATGAATATATTATTTTGTTTTCGAAAGGATTATTACCCACCTCCCCGAGTTATTATTTCCCACACCAGGACAAGCAAGCCTATACGCAGATACCCAATGTTATTATTAGGATCAATTGTTCAGTGCAACACGACGTTCTTATCCTCAGTTTAATCAGGGACCTTTCCCCAGATAACTTCAAGTTATAGTCCTACGCCACTTTTCGCACGGTTTTAGGAGGGTTCTGAAGGGGTCTGGATCCTATTTCCAGCCCTCTTTTCTTCTGCATCCCATTTTCAAGCTATTCTTTTACCAAATCCCACTTTCAACTGGAACTTAAAAGAGCAGGCGTTTCACCTATGCGTTAGAGCGCGAGCCGTCCCGCGGGAAAGGAGGGATCGCCGACAACACATCAAGAAACGAAATACGCCTACTTTTCGTTCTTGTCAAGTTGGCTCCGCCTTTACATAAAGATTATTTATATCCAATTACATCTGTCCAATAGGAACCGTTAATGACTTAATTTCATGTTTATTTATAAAATCAACATTCAGTTCTGGAAATTATTTACAACATAACCACTACGTATCAGACTTGATTGACAGGCGTATCGATTTCGACCAATGGGAATTTTGCGTTGTGTGGGCAACGCCTATTTCGTTTCATCATGTGTTGTCGGCAGTCCCTCCTTTCCTTTCGCATGCCCGGAAATCTAAACCCGCGGAAAGGAGGGACCGCTCGCAGTCTACCTATGCGTTGACTTGTAACACACAATATTCCTCTTGGCGTACTAGTAAATTTTCGACGAAGGACCTTCGCTGAAAAAGTTAAAGTTCTGCTTCTATTTTTCAGGTAGTTGTATTCCCATCAATCTACAACTTTCTTATTATCGTCACTTCCAAACTGGCGTGATCAGTCCGCTTTTAACAGCTCTCTTTAAGATGTTTTAAGGTTTAAAGTCGATAAATACCTAGAGATTCAGTAATCTCAATAGCAAAGAATGACCTAGAGCCGGAAAGGTGCAATCTTCCGCAACATTTTCAGACAAGCTCTTAGTCAATAATTGCTTTCCACACTACTAAAAAATCTCTCCAAAATGGTGTGAATCATTGCAACTTTGCAAACGTGCACTACTGTTGTGTAAATATTAAAACCATTTTTGTATTAGTGAACACCAAACTTAGTGTGGGTAATAGGATGGTTTCGAATGCAATTTGGACAAAACATGCACGAGTGAGTTTTTCAAAGAGCATCATAAAAGCACGAGTCCGAAGAACGAGTGCTATCAGTTGAGGTGTTTGAAAAACTCACGAGTGTTTGATTTTTCCAAATTTCACGAGAAACTATCCTATTACGTATTAATAATATACATACAAATGTTCGAGACAATTGTAGTTTTAATTTCGTATAGCGAACAGTCCACTGACAAAGTTTTCCTGCTTTGTTATATCACATTTAGCCTGGGTAGCGGCTCTCAGAAACCTGCACGGAACCCCATGCCTTGCCGTTTTTACTCGTTCTCCCAAGAACGAGAAATCTAATTGGTTCAAAATGAAAAATATGCTAATTTATGCTAAAATGCTCGTTGATTATTCAAAAACTTTATTTAACCACGGTAAAAAACTCATAACTTTATACACTTATATAAAATAACTACTGATAGATAGCTTGATTGTGAACAAACACGGTGGATGCAGGAGAGGTCTTTCTTGAGTTTTGCATTCAAAACAGCTTACTGTTAAGGCCACGATTCGCATTTAAGGATGAAGAAAAAAGTACTTACGAACTTTGTTCATGAAGCTCTAGAGAAAGAGTGGCTGTGGTGTATTCATTGGATTGCTGTCTGTTAGCCGCGTCTCTTTCACGAGCGTGTTCGTTTTCATCGTCGACAAATATTTATAATATTTTTTCTTGATGATTTTAATTCGTAGCGGATAATTTTGTGCCAGGAGGGAATTGCTGTGAATGCTTACAAACAGGACTTGCTTTCTCTGAAGTGGCAGCTTCATGACACCTTTCTCGTCCCTGCATTGCTCGAAACTTCGACATTTACATCACGGTTGACCGCTGTCGAAACTATTTAAAATTTGTACGTATCCAGGAGATGCAAACGACGTGGATACGTAATTGTGACGACGATGAAAACTGCTCTCGCGCTATTCCCACAGACTTCAATTTTCTTTAGCCGACATCCGTATATTATTTCGTTTTGAAATTTGCAAACGTAAAGCAATCTATATTATTTCATTTTGACAAGTAAATTTGCAAACGTAAACAATCTGTGTGACTGGCCAATTTTGACATCTGTTGAAGGTGGGCGTAGCCCGCAGGCTTAGAGGGCGGGAATGGCAAAACAGTAGATCTCGTGCAGGCTCTCCTTTCTGAGAGCCGCTACGCAGGCTATATCACATTTTATTGTATGGCTTTTCAAAATTCTCTATTCTGATTGGTTGAAAAGCGGTCCGTAAAAACACATATCCGGACCGTGGTCCGTATATTCCGTATCTGGACCGGTGTCCTGGATGTCGTTTATCTGGTGGGAAATTTTTGCTTTGCAAACAGAAAATATTTTTGCTTTTTAATTTTCCAATTGTGTAATTAAAATTTACAGATAAAAATTTCAAACAACCAAATTGTTTTTGATTGAGCATGCATGATTGAGCATGCAGTGAAACTGACGATAGCCGATTTATGCATATGCCAGTCACAGACTCAATTCAGCCATAAAATAAACCGATTATTGACCTCGCTTGTTTGGTCTGTACTGTGAAATATCAAACCTCTGTTTTTTGCATGGACCTCCCTCCTTCGTCGCTCGATCCATACTAAAAAACCTCAGTCTGATATTTCACAGTACAGACCTCACGCACGGTCAATAACCCTTTAATACAACGCTAACGGCTTGGAAATTCCACTCATCTACTGTATGTAAGTTTTGTTAGTTTTGTTTAAGATAAAGGCTTTTCCATTAAAAAAAAAAGATAAAAGTCATATTTTCCACCCGAAGTTAACTTTTACTTTTAATATGTAGCGCGGCGCCATGTTTGTTTTGTTTTGAAGCAAGCTGTGACCGTTACTTGAAGGCTGCTTTAAACTGATTGGTTGATTTTATCATCGCATTGTTTTCCCACCAATCAGATCAGTTAGTTACAGATTTTTGCACTGTGATAACAGAAAATTACACTGTGCATGATTACAAAAAATTGTACTGTGATTACAAATTTTGCACTGCTGTTTAAAATCGACCAATCATAGTCGAGTAATATTTTAAAGTACATTATTACACCTATAATAAGTGTATTAAAACACCCAGAAATTTAGCAAGATCCAGAAATTTAAAGGAAATATTTATACCTCTTCACGGATTGTCTTTAATCCTTCGCCCATATATGTGTACGTACTGTCCAAATACTTCATGTCGTTAATCATGTAGAGTATATCACTGCGGTCTGGAAATTCACCCATATTAAACTGGAAACGGGAGCCCTGGCGATTTCCAACTTGAAGCAAGCCTAGATGTGTCCTATCCTTTTCCAGATCCAATCTTGAAGCTAACCGCCGGGTGAATCTTTGCAGTCGAATATAGTTCCTTTTGCCAATACTTCGAGAACTGTCAATCACAAACGCGATGTCTTGTTTCTTCGGACTACATGTTATCGCCAAAACTAGTAAATTATTAATTAGATTGAACAATGAAATTTCAAACATAACGTCACATACACAAGTATTCTTGTAAACTCCCCATGCGACATGTCGCGGGGACAATTTTTTGTCCCCGCGACAACGCTTACACATGTGACACACGATGAAATTCGACCCCGCGACATGTCCCTGCAACATGCCCCTGCGACTTGTCGCTCCGTGTGACCGAACCTTATGGTATTGTCATGCATATAGTAAATATCCTAATTCCTAAGGCTGTCAACTCTTTGACACAATACATTTACACACAGTAATACGTTCGCTTGAAACACCAAAGTAACGCAAATTTCTGAAAAAAGTCAAGATACAAAAAACCTTTTGAAAAAAGTTTAGAAGCACTTAAATTGCTACAATAAAAAGTGTTTTATTATTGAAATGTTGCTGTAGATAGGTGGGATGCAAATTATTGCTCGACAAATGTCATCATCTCGAAAAACGATCGGCTTATTGTTTATTGGCTGCTGAACAATTGGAAAATTCCAGATTGCAGTATGTTATACTATATGACAATACAATGACGTAACCACGAGAGTCTGCACTCATAATAAGCTACACAATAAAGCGCGTGAATACATATATTTTCTGGGCTGCCTATGATATACAACTTACACGAAGAACATTGTCCAAGGCCACAGACATTAACCAGGACTTCGTCGAGTACAGCCCATAATGATGTATAGTCCGCAGAATGTGTGTTGGTTGGTGTTGAGATCACTTGTAATTGGCTTTTTATCTCGCTGATCCTCTTTCTGCCGCCCGTAGCAATTGATATTATTTCTACACCTTTGCCTTTAAGCTCCTCAGCTTCATTAAATGCCAACTGCGCATCCTTGACTTGTTTGTGTGCAATGATGATAAGCAAATCCTTGTATTCCCCATGGCGGTCAGTACTATGTGGGAAGACCTAGTGAATTCAATGGAAAGCTAAGTAGAAGTGAGTTAATGATGCCGTAGGGTGGATGTTTAATTAAATTCAAGTGACGGTTGTCAAATACAACCTTTATTCGATCGAAATATTAGTTAAATACAAAATTGAACGTGCTATTAACGCATATTTTCAGTTTCCCTTCTAAATCTCCCATAAGATCATTCTGATCAAATGCCAGCAAGTATCATACGCATGCGTTCCCCATTATTTCTCGACATGTTAACTAACAGCTACCAACTGCAATTATGATTGTTTTAATCTATGTCTGTAATGTAACATTGTAATATGAGTCAATTTTGCTCCCAAGTTTAGCTCATATGTTGAAATTTTTTTAAAAATTAACACTGTACCTGATTATTAACAATTTTCAAAGCATTTCCAAGGTAACTCTCTCTTCCTTTACGGTATTTCATATTCTTGATACGAGATAAGGTTTCTTCGACTGACTCATCCTTCTCGAACACTACACGATCTCTTGAAGTCGTGAGATCGTCATACTGTAGGAAGCCAACAGGACTATTTGACACACCAATCTGAAGTTTTGTCACCAAGTTTTCCATGAATTCCTTTACCTCTCTGAATTTTTTCTTGCCACGCCCTGAAGAGCTATCCAGGGCAAAAAATACTCGACGTTTTTGACTAAAACACGTTTCTGGAACTGCAATGAGAAATAACATACCGTATTAATGGTTTCGAAATATCGAGGGCTGGTTGTGTTAAAAGGTAGTTAGATATTCCATCGTATAGAGGCGTGGTTAGTTTTTTTACGTTTTCTGACTAAAATGCCCAGCTGTGTTATCGGTAAACGTGGAATTATTTTGGATTTAGTGATGTCATAATTTTCAACAAGTATATGCATTGCATATAGTGTGAATGAATGGTAAATGGCCAGTTTACAGAGAAAGTGCTCCAGCCAGTCGAAACTGTATTTGCCAGTGAAATGATAATGATAGAATGTACTCCTGATATCTGGAGGGTACCCTAATTTTGACAGACCAATAGTAACAGGTTTGTATAAAACCATCACAGTCTACTTACTTTGTGGTTCTGAGATACATACAGTTTTCTCTAACTCTGCAAGAACTTCATTAAACTGGGAGTTGTCAACTCTGTAATATTCCTTTGGACCTGAAGCGATAAGCCCGAGTGACGATACATATGTCTTATAGTCGCTGTTCATGCCATTAGACAGGGCAATGATACGGATTCCTCGGTTACGCACAGTTTTTGCCATGGAATTAACTTCGGCGAAATCGTTAATGTCACCATCTGTTATTAAAACAATGGTTTTTGAAACGACGTCACGACCTTTCTCTCTTGGGTTAAGCAGCTGGAATTGAAATTAAAAGGTTTTTAATTAAAGTATCAATGTAACCTAACAAGATACCATAAGCCTCCGACTATAAGCCCTAGGCTTATATACTTTCGTAAGCGATTTTTGATGGGCTTATACAAGGGGGGGGGGACTTATATTATACGGGGGGCTAATACTTGGACGATCTTTTGTGTTAGTAATAAACAAGTCAGTCATAAACAGGAAAATAAACATGTATCAATAACGCGCTTTGATTCACATAGTCGGCTATAAAGACAATGACAATGTTTTTTTAAATATCGTTCTCTGCTATATTAAAAGACAATGTCAATGTTGAATAACGTAGTGGGCTACTGGGCTTATATTCGGGGACTTATATTTGGGGGGCTTATATTCGGGAGGGCTTATATTTGGAATGAGGTAAGCATTAGTATACGTGGTGGGCTTATATTCAGGGGGGGGGCTTATAGTCGGAGGTTTACGGTAT